CTCAAAATTTATTTTCTCTGGCAATATCCAAAGAAAAATAATCTAATTAATACTTTAAAAAATATTACAAATATTTAACTTCTTACAGACATTAATATGTTCAGAACTGTAGTAAAAATACACCCTATCAATAGATCATATACTTTCCCTTTCATTAAAATGCATGCTGTATAGATACAAGTATTGAGCTGACATGGTCAGCATGACACAGGTTTGTGCATGCAAGTAATCTCATACTCATATTTGACTCCAATTATTTCCTTTTTTAAAAAGCATTTTTTAAAATTTCTTACATACATGACAATAGTGGAATGCATTACAATCATAATTATCCATTCACAACACCATTTTTCATAACTCTGTATATAAAGTATGTTAACTCCAAATTATGCCATTATACATGAGCTCCCTTATTATTATTTTTTTTAATTTTGCTCTAACTCGGCAGTTCCTTCGACAAAGAATATACAACCAGATATTTCCTAAAAACAACACAACTCATATATTGACTTCTAACACACTTTGTCTATCTGATGCTGTTATTTCTCAGACAATTATACCAATACCTCATTGTTGCAAGTTGTACTTCACTAAATCCATGCAATAATAGTGTGTTTCTCTAGCTTCTCTTACTTTCTCATGCCAGTTCTGTGCTTTTCCCTGGAATCCATTCACTGTCATGAATTCAAACCCCTGTGGAGCTTCAAGAAAAGCAAAACTCCTGTGCCCATTTCAAAGCATTTTGGAAACACTCAGCTGCAAATGAAGTCAAAGCGCAAAATTGTTTTCTATCTTTTTCTACAGTGAAAAAGTGTGCTGAACTCATGTACTTTTGAAGATACTGCCCTCCTGTATGTTCTTTTTTCCCCTTCTACCTTCCTAAAGGATGCAGGATACTCCCTGTTTGGTCAGATTCAGGTCACAGCTAAGCCTGATCCTTTCCTGATTATTCACAAATAAATCATCCTCAAAATAAAGGGAAAAGTCACACAATCCTCCTACAGCATTAAATTTGTAATCATACAAGACAAGTCATGAAATTCAGGATTACGGTTCCCAAGGTAACCCTGCTCTTTCCCTACTGCATATGCCCTACAATACTGTCTTTACATTTAAAATGCTGTTCTTACATTGTATTCTAACTATCAACATCAGCATCTTGCAAGAGCTGCCTGATTAAGTATTCACCTTACAATATAAAGAATGATTTATTAATTTTTGAAATCCAACTAAAATTATATAAATTGAAATAGCTAATGGGCATCCTTCCTAGAACAGAAAATAAGATTCACACTACAACCATTTCTATAACCCTTGTATTTCCTAATTTAGCCACTAGTTGTCATCTAATCTTTGAGGAATCATCTCCTGAGGGGGGAGCAAACTCATAACCCAACAGGAAATAAAACTGGATTTTCTTGTATGCTTGAAGTATTTTGTGACATCAGAACATTTTTCAGAGCCGAATATAGATATAGCATTTTGCAATTTCAGTTTTTTTAAAATATTTTTTTTAGTTGTCAGACACAATAACTTAATTTTATTTATTTATTTTCATGTGGTACTGAGGAACGAACCCAGTGCCTCACATGTGCTAAGAGAGCAATCTACTGCTGAGCCACAATCCCAGCCCCATGATTTTAGTTTCAATTGTAAACTATCAGGATTGATTTTCCTATCATCTTAACTAAACCGTTAAATGCAAGGAATATTCTTTATTCATGTAAATATGATTATATGATTTCAGAAGGTTAACACTTTCTTTTTAGTATTGTATTTGTGATTACTAGGTATTGAATAGCAAACTGATTGACCTTATGATTTCTGGGCCAATGGCCTAAAATAATGTTTAAATTTTGCTCAATCCCCTTAACCTGATTGAACTTTCTGGACTCAACTGATTAACTTATGCAACCTGTTGGTGCCCCAAAACTGAATCAAATATCCCTGAGCTTCTATCCTTAGTCTTTTAAAATATTTTTAGTTATAGATGGGCACAATAACTTTCTTTATTTTATTTATTTATTTTTATGTTGTGCTGAGGATCAAACCCTGAGCCTCACACATGTGAAGCAAGCACTCTATCACTAAACCAAAAACCCAGCCCTGCCCTTAGTCTTTTATAATGACTTTTTCTTTGTTCCTTATAATTTTATGCAAGACACCTAAGATCTCTTTCAATGACACTCTCCATCACCTCCTTCACAGGGAACCACCATATTTCAATTCTTCTGTCACCTGTATGGATTTATCCTTTCTCTTTAGCCACCAATTCCCTTCATATTCTTACCATCTCATACTTAGATTATTATATACACCCATAATTAGAAATATTTCTAGTCTAGAAACAATTAGAATCTACCCTGAGTGTGGTTACCTTATAAGGTACAAGATGTTCAGTCAAATTTGAATTTAAAAAAACAAAACTCATTATATAAAATTCAAATTTACATTAGAGTCACATTATATGTGCTAAACCTAGCAACCCAGGAATTAGTCAATATTGTGCCAACAAATGGTGGGAATATGTCCTTTCTACAGAAATTCAGATAGTAGTAATGAATACAGAGTGAGTAGAAGAAGTGAGCATGTCTGAAGCAACATGAAAACTATTCAATTTCTTCTGATCTTTGCATCTGGTAAGTAAGTACTGATAGTGCCATAAAACTAGGCTGTCCATAATGGCAGTAGAAGTATGTATTATATACTTTTTTGTAGTTTGAGAGGCTCTTAAAAATCTTACCTACTAAAAAATATTTTCCAATCTCTTCTCCAAGTATGCTCTTTGAAAATGCAAACAAATACTTTTGAGTTAATACTTTAAGCATATGAAAGAATATACTTCTGAAAATTATAATATAATATATACTTTAGGGCATATATTTTATCAAGTGGTTTTCTATTAGACCAAAAGTGTGCAGGAAAGTGGTACAACCTGGGACATTGGAGGATAATGGCTATGAAGTGAGAATAGTAAGGAATAGGGGTAAGGGTAAGGGAAGACTGAATTGAGCAAGACACAAACTTCACCTACTCCCATAGAGGCCTACACTGTGGTCCTTTCATAAATTTAGGTCTCAAAATACATCACTTTGTTTGATAAAAGGCAATACCTAATATTAATAAAGAGTACAGTTTCCGGCTGGGGTTGTGGCTCAGTGGTAGAGTGCTTGCCTAGCATATGCAAGGCCCTGGGTTCGATCCTCAGCACCACATAAAAATAAACAAATAAAATAAATGTAGTGTGTCCAACTACAACTAAAAAAATAAATATTAAAAAAGACTACAGTTTTCTAGAGTCATAGAAGTCACACTACTTGAGATAGAATCTCAAATCTCAAATGCCTCTTTTGTAACATAAGTATAGAATTAGTTCCTACCACACTGAATTTTGTGACTGTGACATGAGATGATAAAAGTGACATACTTAGGATGTGCTATATGTGTTAATAGTTTTGCTCCTATTTTCATTACTAAGTAAAATTTTTAAACTTGCTGTCTCATAGAATCACTCTGGTTTTTTTTGTTGTTGTTTTTTTTTACTTATTGGTTTCATGAGGGTATACATCTACCCAATTTATTTAATGAACTAAAAGACCTTGAAGTCACTTTGCTGAGAGAAATGAATAAATAGTATCATGGAAATACATATCATCTTCAGAGCATTTCATTGCCTGACACCAAGTCTCCCAGAGCTTAAAGGGGTAACTAGGTGAAGTGGACACCCATACTGGGCAGAGTATTCTAAACTTGTCCCTTTTCAAGAATCCTAAAAGATAACATATTGGCATGACAATTATTTAAAGTACAATGAAAAATCCTTAAAGGAATCTACTTGAAAACATATATTATAGACATACAGAGTAGATAATCAAAAGATAATTCCTTATCAATGGGCTAGTTTCCTCACCAAACAAAAATGCATACTCTAGTTCCCTTTGATGTCAGAACCCTGCTTCCCATTCATACAATATATACTGGCCCAGTCCACATTGCTCCATGTATCCTCTCCTAGTTATCAATGTTTCCCTCTTCTGCCTGCACTAGGTTAAACCTGCATGAGCATCTGCCTCCAGGACACACATTCAATGTCACTGCACAAACATGGATATATATGAAAATTAAATGCAAAGACAAGAAAGGAAAGACAAATATATCAGTATATGTTCTTTTGATTATCACCTTACCTAGTAAACTGATCACGATTTGCATTCATAGTTGTATGAGATGATGCTTAATGCATTAAAAGAAAAGAGAGAGAAAAAGGAAACAGCATACCAGCTTTTTAAATTTTAAAACATTTAACTTTTATCCATATCACTTTTTTCTTTGGAGGTCATCTTGCTATTTTGATCTTTGCAATAGAAGTTCAAATGTTAAAGCATTGCTGCAATATGTACCACTGATATTCTTTTCTTGGAAAAGAAAGTTTGTGTCAAAAAAAACAGGAATATTTTTAACAAATAAAAAGATGAAAAGTGCTAGCTGCTCCAGAGAGTATCTGTACTATACACAGGGTACACCAAATAGTCTGTTCTTTAAAATCACCTGTGCTTCTGTCTGCATTGTCATTGACATGGCAATAGTCCATGAAAAGTTCTTGGAAAAAATATAAATTTAGTGTCTTAACCTGCCACTATCTCAGGACTAGGGCCCTGGGAATGACAGCTGTAATATTTCAGGAAAAAATGCTCCTCAGATTTTACTTCCTAATTCTCTGATGCTTCAATATAGAACTTCATATTTGAGATAGAACTGTCTCTAGTTAAATCAAGAGTTGAGAAGCAAGACTCAAATTTATTTTCTGCTCAGTGTATATCTTCTTGTATATCTTTGGTCTACTTACATAGCTTCGCCATATTTCATGAGTTTACTGATCCATAAAACAGCCATAACAGTGCCTATTCCTCAGTTGAATTTGGAGGTTAATTTCCTGGGGTGCTTGTATGGAAAAAAATGTACTATGATTTCCATCTTCCAAACTATACAATGATACTTACGGGGATGCTGTCAACTCTCCAATTCAGTCATGATAATATGTCTCCCAAGTTGGCACTAGAGAGATATGAAAATTGAAAAAGATTGAAAATCATAACACATACCATGCTCATATGAAACATAATTTCATCCTATTTTATAACCCACCTACCTTTTATCTAAACCTTATTATCTTTCCATTCCCCAAAGACTGAATTTTCTGCATCCTATCTCCATGCTGCCCTAATCATTCTCTACAAACTACCAAAATATAAAGTATGTTGTAAATTTGCTATGTAATTGTGCAGTGGATGCTTCCTACCCAATTTTTGCCTCCCCCAGGTCTCTGCATCCTCAGACCTTATGTATGGTGTCCATGCGCTGCTCCTCCTTAAAACAAACCACCACAATTCGGTAGGATCTCCATACTTCATCAATAAAGATTTAAGAATTTTAGAAGATTATGGGTTCTAGAAATCTCCCATGCCAAAAACTCTGCTTCAGTAAAAAATCCTATTTGCACACATTGTTCATTGAATGTCTATTATGAGTCTGTACACTATGTTGCCTGAAAGGAAAAGATAAAAGTTTACAAGAGAACAACAGTGATAGACAAACATAATTTCTCAGGCTATCAAATAATTATAAGTTTCAAATGCATTGTGATATATATCTATATCAATAGATATATATATATCTTTGTATTCTACAATATAAAAGAACTTGTGAAAAATATACATTCTATTCTATGGCTATTGTTTAAAGTAGAATTAAATCTCTTAAGGGGATCTAGGGTCTTATTAGTTATGCAGACATTCAATTAATCTTTTTGTTTCTATTTACCCAAAACTGGTAATCTGACTTCAGTTACATGGTTACTTCACTTCCTAAACTTAAGCTTCCTAATCCTTTCTGTTGTGTTATAGGAATTTACTTCTCCCACCATAGATATTTAAGTTCTCCTTTTCACTACTCTGTTACATAAATTATTACTCATCCATCCACTTCATATCTTCCAAAGTGAGTATGTGTGTGTTTCTGTGTGTGTATAAATATATTCATATGAACAAATATATATGGATATATTTATACACACACACACACACACACACACAGTATTCATCTGGGTTTTCCTCTTAAGTTTTCTTTGTCTTTGTTGTTTTGTAGCTTTTAGTTGCTCTTATTATCAGAGTCTATGGGCTTCAAATAGTGGCTCAGATAAACACATATGTTTATCCAGCAGTTCCTGGAAGTATTTTAGTTATAGGAGTAAAATGATTAGATATATTCCATAATAGCTAATTCAGTCACTATATGTAGACAGAATAAGTTTTGGAAAATAAGACTGGAAACAAGACGAATAGCTGGAGTAGATGAGTTAGCATGAACTAAAGCTGAAACATTGAAGATATAGAGGAGATACTGAATGTGGAAAGTACTAAGGAGGTAGAACTATTAGTTAGTAGCTTCAAATTAAATATAAAAGTCCAAATCTCCATCACAAGCATAACTAGCAAACAAAGAAGCATGGGTAGAGAAATGCATGATGCCTACACTGGACACACTTATTTCAGGGACCCGTAGAATATGCAGGTGGAGATATCCAATAGACAGTTGCCTATAGAGAACTAAAATTCTGCAAAAAAGTGAAGGCTAGAAATATACATCTGAAAATCACCCATACAGATATGCCATAACTTGCATGAAACACACTTCCTCCAAATTCATACTAAAAATGTTATTATATATCTTGGTTCTAGGGCTAGGGTTATGGCTCAGTGGTAGACCATTTGCCTAGCATATGTGAGGCACTGGGTTCGATTCTCAGCACCATGTGTAAGCAAATAAATAAATAAAGGTCCATCAATAATTAATAAAATATGAAAAGTATCTTGGTTCTATCTCAATGACTTTATATCTTTCTGAAATGTGATTATACATATATAAAACATGCATATTGCCATCATTTTAGGAAAGCATTTTCAGATGTCCATAGATCATTATGTATATTGAACAATTTTGTAAAAGAATAAGATTCATCTAAAAATACTGTCATGTTTTATAATCAGGTGGATAGGATGGAATCTGGCTCTCAGGACATTGATCATAAGGGTTGATTCTAGATAGCTAACTTGCTAGGCAGAGTTCACTGCCTTTCTTACTTCACTATATGTGTTTCACCCAAAGGTATGTGTTCACTTGCCAGGTGTGATGGCACATGCCTGTAATCCCAGCAGCTCAGGGGGCTCAAGCAGGAAGATTACAAGTTCAAAGCCAGCTGCAGCAATTTAGCAAGGCCCTAAGCAACTGAGAGAGACCCTGTCTCAAAATAAAAATAAAAAAGGGGTGGGAATGTGTTTCAGTGGCGAAGCACCCCTGTTTAAATCCCTGGTACACAAAAAAAAGATACATGTTCATTCAAATAGGTTGAAGTTTAGTAAAGATCATATGCTAACTTATTTGACAGCAAAATAATTGCATAGCCCTATTAGTCTTTAATATTGTTTAGAAAGATTATGAGAAAGACACCTCTTTAAATGCCATATAAATTCTGGTTTCTCTCATGCATACGAAAAAATTTTTTCCTTGAGATAGAAACAATAAGTAAGTTCCATATTTTTCAGGGGAGGGTGGATTCCTCAATTTCATTGATTATTATAAAGTACTTTCATGTGTGCAAAGAAGTTTTTAATTTTATTATAAGTAATATCATGTCTTTGAGAGCAAGAAACTATAAATGATAACATTGAGAAATAGTATAGAACCTCTATTAATATCCATATTACAAGTTGTTATCTCTGAATAGAAATCACTTCTTTGCAAAATTCATTCATCTTCTGTTGTTGTCTTTCTTCTCCAAATATTCCTTTTTGAAAAAGATTTTTAATCTAAACCGATTGATTTAAGTTTGATTTAATTGCAGAGAATGAAAAGTATGCTCATTCCCTTTATATTATAATCATCATTAAACTGACATGTAGGTGCTTTTGTTTGGGCAAGTTCACTGTCAGGAGCCCCAAGTTCACCTGTACAACAAACAGCTTCTCCATTTGCTGTCTCCCACTGAGATTGTATATGCTGAAGAAAACTAATGGTAATTCATTGCATTTTTCAGGCTCAACCGGTGAAGCTTGTGTCAAATTCTTAAGATTCTTGTCTCCCTGTCAACCTTTCATGATAAAAATGAGGTTGATATTGAGTGTTTCTACAGGTTTAAGATCAAAGTTTTCTCCTGATGATCATTACTTTCCTATATATCTTGGTCTCAAAAACATTATTACCCCAAATTCCAGCATACTAGAACACAATAGTATGTGATTTCTCATATATAAAATAACCAAAAAGTATTATTATTAGAATTATGCATTTTATTCCTTTGGGGGTCTTTGGCTCTTTGCTCAAAGCATATATTTCAAAGATGACAACTATTATAACCACACTGGGAAGCTCTGCTTTTTCTTTCCCTTCTCACCTTTCTCTCTCTTTTTACCTCACAACCTGTTTGTAGTATTCTATTTGTTCAGCTAATGGAGATTTTAATTGCACAAAAGTACAATTTTGACTCTAAGTTTCAATTAAAATTATGAATTTCAAGCTAGCCGTGATTGACTAAGTCCATTAAACTGATTGATTTGAAAACAAATTATTAAAATAATTTCCAAATGGTGCTACACATGTCAAGCAGAATTGTACTTGGTTCAAATGAATTTGGCACTAACATACTCCCCCCCCCATCTCCTATTCACTCAAGAACAGAATGTTCTTTTGTTTCTGATTGACACAGAATTAGTACCTTTTCAAGTGTCAAACTAATGTCATAGTTAGGAGTATACACAGCTAATGTGTTTTGTGTAAATGCATACTTTTCTATGTTTTCTCTAGAGACTTTCTGTAAATTCATATTTGTAGATACTAATTAATCCAGAGACTTGTGGGAATGTGAGATATAATATACTAGCACCACAAATCACACAGGAGGCACAGGTGAGAAAACATAGCCCAGAAGGCTGAATTTTCTTTGGCTACAGTCCTACTCTCATGCATATAAAATCAAATCATTCTCCTTATTTATTTTTATTTGCCAGGGTGTTATCTTCTGGAGATAAAAGAAAATAAAATGAAAATCACTTGTTCTGAGTTTAGTGTCAATTAATATGGCACTAAGATTAAAAGAAATTTTACCCACAATAAGATTTGCCATTTGTCCATTTTACAAAACTGAATATTATTGCTTTCTTGTTTCCTGAACACCAAATACACAAGAACAGGTTGAAAGCATAGGATTAGTGTTCCTTCCATAAGTTCTCATTACTGAACCTGAATTTTCATTGAAATGTATACTTAGCCTGGAATGTAACGTCCATAATTATCTTCACCCCTTTGCAGATAAGGCAGGAGGATTTGAAGGGTTTGAAAAAGACCCTTTTAAAGTAGTCAGAGAAAAGAATTATAGTGCAATACTTTTCTTTTATCAGGATGTAACTGATCAAATATTTTTTAATTCATTTTCTAAAGGAAATTGGTGTTCATTAGGGAATTTGGACTCATTTTTTACTCAGCCTTACATGTAAAAACTCAAAGACAAGAACTATGAATTGAATCAAAACTTATAGGTATAAGTAAATAAATTCTCAAGATAATAATTGAAGCTATTAACACACCGGGCCCTAGGCAAAATTGTGAAGTAGATAAAGTCTAACTAGCATTAAAAAAAGTAAATGTACATGTGCCTGACCTAATATTTGGTACATGGTAATCACTTGCTGAAATTTCCCCCACAATTCCTCTTCTTTTAGCATTTTTTCTTATTAATATACTTTTGCACTATCACCTGGTTCTCCACAGTATCTTAATGCTGCTTGTCCCCATCCCTTTATAACTAATCAAATTTACTCCCACCAGATAATTTCCTATATTCTTTTTTTTAAAAGACAGAGGGGGGAAAGGGAGAGAATTTTTAATATTTACTTTTTTCAGTTTTTGGTGGACACAACATCCCCATTTTTATGTGTTGCTGAGGATCAAACCCAGTGCCCCGTGCATGCCAGATGAGTGCATTACCACTTGAACCACATCCCCA